AGCTGCTTCGAAAGAGCTTCCTGTGAACCAATTCCACGGTGATCCACCTTAATCTATGAAAACACGCGGCAAAAGAAGCAAACAGCAATTTATTCGACCACGGAATAACAAGGAAGTCATCCATAGGCTCTTCCCTTCCCAACTTTCTCTCTTCTCGACTGGAGACCGCCTTCCGAAAGTAAATCATCGAACCAGGCGCCAGGATACTCTGGTCACGCCTGAGATCCTGCGAAAATAAGACGCACATGTGTCTCCCACTTCGATTCCTCGTCTTTTCGATTTCATCCCCTTCAATTTACTAGAATTCGCAAATCTGTAAATCCGTTTTTTCTTTCTTTCTACGATGATATTTACAATCAAAATATCTGAAACAAATTGGAAGATAATTTGTCCTTATATTTATCCAGTTTTTCGTTCGCAAATAAATCTTATTTATCGTCGAGTATTTATTATATGTACCAAATGTGTGTATTTTGTTAATAGAATTTTCAGATTATCTTCGATCGGCCAAGTGCATATTCGATATCCTCATTGTTGTAGGTAAACGACTCGTGAACAGTTGGAGGAAACCATTTCCTCGCCAGTCGAAAAAAAAAAACCATTTCGAAAATAATTAACTGGCGGGGACGAGCTCATTACGCGAGCTTAATTAGCTGCCACTGGTATCCGTGTCCCTCGAGCCGGTCACAGGGAAGCCTAACCGAATCGGCTACCGAATTATGATGGTGCGTCGGATGGATGCTCTCCGCTCAGAGAACGGCGCTCTTTATTAAAATGTAGCCCGCCTCTAATAGGTCTTCGACTGCCACTATTTCCTGAAATACCAATTCAGTTGAAGTCCAGTTCTTCGATTAGAACCACAGAGGACGTGCAATTATGGAATTAAATAGCCGAAAACCTACCGGACTAAAAAGGTAAAAAGGTGGCCAATTAACACGTTCCGTGGCAAGCCATTTTTGCCTTTTGTTGTCGTTCAGGCCATTTTTTGATATTAATGTAGGAAATGAAAAGATAGTTACGCCGAAATCAAGAAGTTCCGTGCCAAGCCATTTTTGCCTTTTGTTGTCGTTCAGGCCATTTGATATTTTGGAAGCCATTTTTGCCTTTTGTTGTCGTTCAGGCCATTTGATATTTTGACTAAAATGTTGATATATTATCACACAATCTTTCGTTCACATCATCAATCGATAAGTAGTTCTCTTGTAATATATTACCACACAATCTTAGTAGCTATCACATCGTGTACCACTTGTGGTAATATTATTAGAAATATGGTGCCTGAAGATCAAGTTTAACGTGTACTACCGGTGGTACACATGGCACGGAACGTGCACGTGAACTGAAATCTAATCTTTTAATATGTCCAATCTTTCGAAATCTAAATGACAAATAACATTAATTTTTTTTAATTTCTCCGACGTGAGTTTCATAGTATGATACTTGAAACTCGACGAGTACCGGTGTTGGCAGACTTTTGTGCATTTACGAGAAAGAACGGTTACCAAAAATGCTCAAAAAGAAAAGAAAAGGAAAGAAAAGAAGAAATGATCCAGTGGACGAAGCAAATTCTTTGCTTCAAGCTCTCCATATTTCGATTTCAGTCGAATGGCGGATGTTGCGGGAAGAAAAGTTGGAGAATGGAAGGGAATTTCGCCGGTTTCTATTTTCATCGACGTAGCATGGCCAGCAGAGCGTTGTGGTTCCCTCGTCGGATGTATTTACCTACGTCCCGTGTTGGAGTGGCGTGGGTCCGTCGCAGAACGGTTTACTGACTGTGTAAAACGGAACACCGTGTCATTGGATCGTTCTCATCCACAAACACCACGTACACTACGTGGTGTGCGAGTGGAGAGGGTGGGAGTGGAAACGGTGGTCGCGGTTGGCACTAACGACGAACGATTCATCATCCTGGGGGAAAACGAAAGGAGTGACAGAAATTGCGGTGATTTAGTAGGAAAAGACAGAGAACAGATGTTTAACCTTTCCACCGTGTCTAACCCCTGCGAGGCCTCTATCTGCCTACTCGTCCCCTTATCGGTCATTTCCATGCCAGATGATGATCTTCGTTTCATTTACTCGACCAGGTGAAATACTCCAACATCCCACGTGTTGTGTGTTTCAGGATATCAGGGAACTTGCAGGATATGCCTGGGAATTAAAATTGAGGACACGTGGAATCAAGAGATGGTGTTTACAACAAGGTGAGAAAAACAAAAAATAACAGAAAATAATTACTTGATAAAACTTTCATTTTGGAACTTTTCAACTCCCAGTGGAGAGCTTATAAAGTTGTTACAAATTGAAACTGAAATTGATTATTAAACGTTGTTATTAATTGTTATACTTGAGTATTACCTTGAATAGTTAATTAATTCAAGACTTAATTAATTCAAGGTGTTTAAACAAGGTGAGAGGAACAGAAAATAACAGAAAATAATTACTTGATAAAACTTTCATTTTTGAACTTTTCAACCCCCAGTGGAGAACTTATGAAGTTGTTAGAAATTGAAACTAAAATTGGTTATTAGACGTTGTTATTAATTGTTACATTACCTTGAATACTTAATTAATTCAAGACTGGGCGACACGTGGAATTTCTCGACTTGAATTGAAATCAACGTGTTGCATAAAACACGGAATTTAGTTTGTCACTTTATATTATCTTCACGCAGGCGTTATCTTGAAATTTATCAATTATTCTAAATGTTCGTTTATAACCTGAAAACTTACCAACATACACACAGTCTCACAGTTTTCTTCTTTCTAACCTCTTTTCTTCCTATCGTTGAATCAAAAAAAAAATCTCCGCACCGACGAAACTGACAAAAAGAAGAAAACGCGAGTGACAAAAAGAAAAAAAAAGAAAGAAAGAAAGAAAAGAAAGAAAAACACGTACAGTGCCAGTGAGGGAACAGGGCCGATGGCAGGATTTCCATCGAGTTCTCGCGTTCGTAAATAAACCGGTGAAGCGTGGTGGGTCGCTATGTTTAGGTTAGGTGGTTTCTCAGATTTCTGGGATCACCATGGGAGAGAATGTGACAGGTCTTCCTTCGTGCTACCGGTCGGCTGCTTTATGATCACGAGTACGCTACCAATTCACTGACGGGCTGCTTTCTAAAAAGAGAAGCGCCAAGAGACACACTGGCTTGTTCCCTTTTTATCCTGTAATTCATAACTGTGAGAGCTTCAAGGTCTCCCCGCATCATCGAATCAGCATCACCACACGTTACTGGGCATTAACGTTACTGAATCCTCGCTTGAACTTTGTATCTTGTGGACAAAATGCACTCGGGCAATGCAGTGTAGAAATGACTCAGAAAAACACTAGATGACATTGGTGGTCAAAGAGAAAAATGAAAAATATAACGTGTTACTATTTGTATGCTTATATATTGTGTTACTATTTGCTATCTATATAATAAATTGTGTTACTATTTGCTATCTATATATTAAATTGTATAATAAATTCTCCAAAAAAAAAAAAAAACTTCAGTATTGTATATACACAAAAGATTGTATATGTATGTATTTTTTGAAACATTCTTAATAGTATGATAGTATAATAGTATAATAGTATGATACTTAATTAATAGTATGATACTTTTAATAGTATGATAATTAATAGTATGATAGTTAATTAATAGTATGATACTTTTTGAAACATTTTGGAATATGCTAAAGCTAACCAAACAAAGTTCACATTCCCAAGTAGTGTCAGTCCTCTTTTTGTACCTTTTCTTTTTGTAACAATTAGTTGTATCTTTTTGTACTATTATTTGTATCTTTTTGTCACTATTTACCATCTGTACAGCTATTTGTTGTCGACAGCTATCACGTTTCAACAATCAATATTAAATCTATTAGAGTAGGATTATCTCCTAATTTTTCCAAAAATGAAGGGTTCATAAAACTTTTTCCATTATCATCTTTGGGAACCCATTTCCAATTAGCGTTGTTTTTTACTTGTCCAAGTTTCATTTTACTTGTTTTTATTGCATCCTCATCATCAGAATCTCATCGGAAGATGTACGTTTTTTCTGTCTTTGAAAAAAAAAAAAAAAATCTGTTCCTCGCTGTCGCTACACTTTCCAAAATTATTTCCCACGTTCGCCTATGGAAAATTATTTCGCAATTAGTTAAAACGGTGAAACTATTTCGTAATTACATAGAATAATTATTATTCGAAATCGATGGCAATAAAACATAACTCGTACACGTTAATGCGTATTATTGTCACAAAAGATACACCACGATATACATGCAATTCGATGCTCATCCAATGTTCAATTACTGTCAACGATTTAACAGAAGCGTTGCATTAGGTCAGATGAAAAATTCTTCTAAACATTGAAACGTCCATGTCGATGGAACAACGTTACAGATAAAAAAAACCAAGCAAATACGAGGGTAATCAGGATCAAGAAGTTTACTGAAACGAGTGTGTAATGCATCAATGTGGAATTTCTAGAAGAGCCAGCGGAGAGAAGAACTTGGGGAAAAGTCGAAAAGGGACATCCGGTGTATGTTGATTGGCCTAAAAGACCGAGCCGGTTGACATCGTTTTTGGCCAATCGGACAAACTGGGCGTCACTAGCTGCCGTTTCCTTGCAATAATATTTGCACTGGCTCGTCTAATCCATTAAGCCTGCCATTTGGTAAATTATTTATCGGCTCTCCACCGTGTCTCTCCCTTCCCCTCCTGCTCCGCTCTCTGCATCTCTCCGTCTTCTGCAACGGCACGACTTTTCCCTCTTCTTTGAATTCACGATCTGGGAATATCCATACTCGCGTATTCGCGGCCTCGGCTCGTTACGAGTATTTCGTGACGTCAGCCAAGCGTTACGCGACACGATCCTAAGCGTTGCGAGCGTCTCTCCCGTTTCCTCGATGGAACTTCCGGCGTTGCTGGAAGCCCGCGTTCGCGCACAGATCGCATCAGGATGTCTCTCGGGTATTTCTAGAGATATTTGCTGGAAGTAAGAGAGAGAGAGAGAGAGAGTGAGTGAATGAGTGAGTGAGTGAGTGAGAGGAGGAGAATTTTGGAATTTGAAATCATCTGTGAATTGAGAGATTTGATTTGAATTTGGAAGTTGGAAATTCCAAGAGTTTGGAATCTCATTTCCTGCAGCTGCGACAAGCCTCAAAAATTGTAATTGCAATGCTTGGGATTTTCGAATGCCAAAGTTTTGTAAGTTTTACAGAACTGAAGTTCCCAACATTCTATTCGACAATTTCTCTCAAAACTTGAAATTGCAA